CCGGTAAGGTTAGGGCTTGTCCTGTGCTAGGGTTACACATTATCTGTACTGGTAACATTCCCTTTTGTGTAACTGTAAGACATAACAATCCTTTGACCTGACCAGTGATGAAACAGGAGGAACCATGAAAGGGGATACGAGAAAGATAAGCGAGTAGACGCTTACAGTTACCAAATACATTCCTGCACAAAGCGGACAATACGGATGTATCTCATTCTTTTAAACCAAGTACTTTAGCCTTTTCAGTATTTGTATGTACAGAGAGTTTACATTATCAATTACAGAAAACTAATTAGACGATCACAGTTAGTGAATAAATCAGAAGAGTATAAAGCTAAGGGGTTAGCTAATGTTAGCTAAGAACAAAATCATTTCTCTTGAGTGTATAATAAACCAATTCTGTAGAGTGTATAACGAACATATCCATAAAATATTCCCACAGAAAACAGAGGCGATCCCATGCTCCTCACACAATGACAACTGATTTCTCCATCTTTCTGTTTTCGAATATATGTTGGGTTAGGGTTGTAACTACACAAACCAGAGAAAATACTTTATGAAACCCTATGATCTTTACTATGAGAATTTTAGTTTAAGAGCCAAAGTAGCTCTGTTACAAATCATAAAGTCATAAAACACAGTTACATAAGATTCACATTCTCTACATGGTTTAGAAGCGTTCGAACTCTACTACCCTTTAACGCTTCTATTCCTTGGATTTCAACGCTAACTATACTGTTTCTCTTGATATTGTAGTAGAAGATGTAGAAAGGTTTAATTGGAATGTCCAGCGACAACACAATTTCATCTGTACCAATCACTCCAACGAAGTACAACTCGGCCGTCCCAGCTAACTCAATCCCCAAAGGAGGCAACACATAAACATGCTTGGACCATTCATGTTTCTCGGCGTCTTGTAGAACCCACAAGACAAAACTTCCGGTTCCTCTACTAATAGAGTAAGGCTCTTCCCACCTAAGTGAACCTAATTTACCATTATAGTTTATCAAAGTCCCTCTATGATCAAGTACTGCTTTACTGATATTTTCAGTGACTTTCATAAAACTAAACTTCTCAGACCTAAAATCAAAGCAGACTAATATAGTAACCCTTGTGAAACCATCTCCGTTGGCTCTATAATACAATAGACCATTGATGCATATCTCATTAAGTAGAGGACAATGAGGCACAAAACATTCCATCCTTCTCCATGAGAGCTTCTGAGTTCCTAGTGTTAGAACTCGATACTCCTTCCAATTCCCATTATATTTTTCATTTGACGAGGTCATGGATAATAACTTGTATTTTTTTCCAATAGGATCGTACCCAAAATAACTCTTCTGCCCAACCGTCTCCATCTTCGGTAAAGGTAAGCGTTGTCCCGTGCTAGGGTTGCATATGAACGGCAACTTTGAGCTTTTCTTCCCCTTTAAGATATCGTCTCTAAGACATAGGAAGCCGTTGATAATACTAAATCTTTCATTGGAAAAGTTGAAGGGGACTTTCGTAAGAAAACTAGCGGTTACAAGAGACGAGTTCTCATTCAGATTTTGAGGCTGAGGTGAAGAGAAGAAGAGCAACTCACTCTGTGTTTGGGAGACGAACAAGAGCTGTGGACGAGCATTGGTTACGAATAGCATATCAGTGAACTCAAGACGGTAAAGAATGGAGGCCCAAAGCTTCGAGACGCAACGACATCTAGCTATATATTTCGCTTTATATAAGGTTGGAAATCTTGAGAATATCTCGATAAGGAGATCGATAGGTAATGAGTCTTCTCTTACATTAGTCGAGTTATTGGACTGCTTAGTAAGTCGAGTGACGGTAAGTCCATCCTCCGTGTCGTTATGCAGCTGTGATTTCATGGCTGAAACGCCCTATAAACCCTAGGTTTCTCTGAATTCGTATTGTTGATAGTTAAATGTTATTTTATGATTTATAAGAAAGATAAAATAATATAATAACATATAAATTATTTAATTAGGTTTTGTTGTATTTGGTTTAAGGAATTAGGATTTAGTAACTAAATACATGTATTTTTCTTCCTTTTCCAAAGTTCTGAAAATCTTGGAAGTTTATTTTTCATTTAATTTATCTTTTATTGTAGATAATTACTAAGATAACTTGAACAACTTTATCCCTGAAAAATTCTAAAAATGTTTACTGGATTAGAGGTTGGAAAAAAATACACTTTTAAAATATTTTTATTGGATATATTATTTATAAGAGTTCTTACAAATCCAAAGCTATTGGATATATCAATTATATTTTTTTAAAAAAAATAATAGAATAACATATAAATTTAATTAGGTTTTGTTGTATTTGGTTTAAGGAATTGGGATTTAGCCAACTAAATACATGTATTTTTCTTCCTTTTCCAAAGTTCTGAAGATCTTGGAAGTTTATTTTTTATTTAATTTATCTTTTATTGTAGATAATTACTAAGTTAACTAGAACAACTTTATCCCTAATTTTTTTTAAAAATTTTTATTGGATTAGAGGTTTCAAAAAATTTAATAAACAAAATCTAAGACTAAGAGCCAAGGTGCTAAAAATGTTACTTTAGAACATAAGTAACAAAGAGGCTTAAATTTACTCTACAACAATCATTCCTCCTCGATGTATATGAATGATTACGATAAATGGACAAGTATATATTGGAAGAAAGATGAACGCCATAACTAAAACCAGAAATAATTATTAAATAGCATAAGAGACCATGAGCTGTTACAATTTCAAGGAATAAACAAATCCTTAAACATTTGCAAAAAGCTTCACATTCTCCACATGATGTAAAAATGTACTACACTGCATAAACGCATCCGTTCCTTGGATTTCAACTTTTCTGATAGTTCCCCTCTCTAAATCGTAGTATAAAACATTTAAAATGCCGGGTGAATTGTGCCCTGACATCACAATTTCATCAGTACCTGTTATTCCAGTGAAGTATAAGAAGTACTTTCCAACTACATCCTTCCAAAAAGGGGGCAATTCGTATACCTGCTTGGACCATTCATGTTTCTCAGCATCTACTAGAACCCACAACTCAATGCATCGACTTTTTCCCCTAACTTCGCCATACCCATCTGAGGTAAGTGCAGCTAAATTACCATTGTAGTTTACCAGCTTTAATTCAATACAGTTGAAATCATCCCCCGTAGGATTTCTAATAAATGTAAACTTTTCAGAAGTTGCATCAAAGCAAACTATCTGATAATGCTGCTCTACACTATCAACCTTAGTATGATAATACAAACAACCATTGATGCATATCCCACCAGATTTAGGACGATGGGGTACGCTACATTCGATCATTCTCCATGATAGTTTCCCTGTTCCTAGAGTCAGAACTTGGTACTCCTCGCAAAACCAATGACTTGCATAACATGACCAGGTCATGGATAATACCTTGAATTGCTTACCTATTGGATCATACACAAAAATGCATCTCACGTTAACGTTACTCGTTTTCAGTTTGGGTAAAAGTATGGACTGTCCGGTGCTAGGGTTACATATCGTTGGAACTATATGCTTTCTTCCCTTCACGGTCCGAATATGTGTAAGACAGACTAAACCTCGGACGTGACCACAAATTTGAAAGGTAGCATCAACACAAAACTTCATATGATACTCGGGGACTACAAGAGACGAGTTCTTGTCTGGATTTTGAGGTGCCTTGAAGAAGAACAATGCATCATCTTTTAGGCAGGCGAACAGAAGCTGCTGACGAGTTGAAGATCTGGTCAAGAATAACTCGGTGAAATCGTGGCGACGAAGTATGGAAGCCCAGAGCTTTGATACGCAACGTGACCTAGCTATAGATTTCGCCGGCAATCTGAACAGCAGTTCGTAAATGAGATCATATGGGATCGGCTCTGAATATCCCCTTCCGTTGAATGATGTAGAAGATCTTGATATGCATGGGGAACTGGTTAGAGCATCGTTCGAGAGGTTGTGCCGCTGTAGTTTCATGGGCGGAGACACTTGTCTTCAAAACCCTAGGTTTCTTTGAGTTCTTATCGTTCGGAAGAAAGTAAATAACGCATCATGTATTAACTTTTATGCATGCTTAGTTAAGGGAAAGCCCATTTAGCCCACACATTATATCCCATTAATCCAAGATTCGTTAAAGGAAAGAAAACATGTATGTGCATGTGTTACTTTTGTTTGTGAAGTAAGCTTCCTTCTCGAACCCTATAAAACCTTAAATTTTTCCTGTGTTTTCTTTGTGTTATTTGCAACAGAAGTAAAAACGGATGGAAAATTTAAGATCTTACTTTTGCTTCCGTTACGAGGAAACTCTTCATAACATCCCAGCATCGCTACAAGTACTTATCTGATCAGCTTTTCAAAATCTTTCAAACATTTTTAACTAAAGAAAATTTATAAACATTGACTAATTCTTGTTATACTAGCCTAAACAAAATCTGAAATACACACGTGTAACCTCCTAGGCTTTCCACATGTTACATGCATGCACGTAATGTTTTAATGTTTCAATGTCTAAGATATTTTCATATTTTAAAATAACTTTATTAAAAATTGTAACAAATGATATTTTATATTCTATTTTGTAGCTGGTTGAATCATTATTAATTTATGTTTAATGATACTTTTAGGAAAAAAGTAATATTTTGTCGCTAGCCTTAATTAGTTTAACTAACAAACATTTTGAAGGGTGTTTTGCCAAAAGTAAACATGCAGAACATAGTGGCAAACATTTTATAAGTAAATAAATCTACAATGAGAAAATTATATTTCACCCGCCGGCCGTATATACTATTGATTTCGGACAACTATTATACAGTTATAAATCAAAAATCATTCTTTAAAAATCAAGAATCTATATACATAATTGCTTATTATATTTGATAATCACACCTGTATACGAATATTATAATACATCGTTATTTGCGTGTAGTCTCTCACTTTTTTTTCTCTCTCTTTATGTTCGATCGACATGGATCGTCAAATCAAGAACACACCACACAACAACGAAGATGGACAACAACAACAACAAATATCCGTCAAGTTCCATCGAGGACCCACCAACAGGGAAGAAAAAACCAACCACCATCTTACTTATCCCATGTCTCCTCCTCACCACCTCTATGCTTCTCATTTATCTCTCCCAAAACAAAATCATCCTCATCAGCACCACTACTAGCTCCGGATCCGATCATACATCCGGCCTCAGAGACGATTCATGCCTCGGCCGATACATTTATATCCATAATCTACCTTCTCGATTCAACAAAGACATCCTCCAAGACTGCGAGTCGATTTCAAGACCAAAAGATAAAACCAGCATGTGTAAGTACATTGAAAACTACGGATTGGGACCTCAGATCGGTGATGGTGTTTCCACCGATTCTAGGTACTCCCCGAGCTGGTATGCGACTAATCAGTTCATGCTTGAAGTTATTTTTCACGAGAAGATGAAGAGATACGAGTGTTTGACGAGAAACTCGTCGCTGGCTTCGGGCATTTACGTACCTTACTACGCTGGTCTAGATTTACGGCGAAATATGCAGTGGAGTTATAACATCTCTGAAAGAGACGCCTCCGGGAAGGAAATGTTTAAATGGCTCAAAAAGCAACCCCAGTGGAAAGGTATGCACAATGCAGTCGTATTTTCACTATTTGTGATAATGTTTACATTAATTCCAGTTATTATTGGTTACTTTGATTTATGTGTTGATTAAGAAATGTAGAAAACCATCTTATTCACTGATCAAAAAACATTTTTGAAATAAGGATTCTTTGAAAAGGAAATCAGATTTGTGTAAACGACTATAGTTCTAATTGTTTATATGGTTTCCAGTTTATACATATTTCTGATTAAATCCCATAATTTATGTTTTTGTATATATTGCCTGAAATTCCTATTTTTTTCTGAAAAAAACATATTCACACTTTATACTTCAATATAGAATAGATAAATTAAGATATTAAACTCGTAAATATTAACTATTGAAAATCATCAAATGTTTTAAAAAATCACTTTAACATCTAAAACTTAATACATAGTTAAAAGGTTAACATTAACCTATTCATTTTTATAGTTATCAATAAAATTAGTTTACTTAAATAAATAATTATTTTAAATTTTGAAATAAATCGCGCATTTTATAGTTTGGTATTATTTACTCACTTTCTCTCAATGTTGTAGGGAAATTATTTGTTTTGACATAACAACATAAACTAATTTGTTTAATTGAAAATCCAGGTATGTCAGGTAAAGACCATTTCCTTGTAACCGGTCGGATCTCACGAGATTTCCGGCGATACTCCAAAAATAATTCCAGATGGGGAACCAACTTAATGCTCTTACCGGAGTCGCAAAACCTCACTTTCCTCACCATTGAACGAAGCCCAATAAGCCACAACGAGTTCGCTATTCCTTATCCAACCTACTTTCACCCAACTTCAGCCGTCGAGATTCACCAGTGGCAAGAGAAGATCAAGTTCACAAACCGAACAGTACTCTTTTCATTCATCGGAGCTCAAAGGCCGAGCAGAAACTATAAAGGTTTGGTTCGCACTCAAGTTATCCAACAATGCAAGAATTCTTCAAACACATGTAGGTTTCTTGACTGCGACGTCAAAGCCAACACATGTGATGATCCCATCACTCTGATGAAGCTTTTGGAGAGTTCAGTTTTCTGTTTACAACCACCGGGTGATTCGTTAACCAGAAGATCGGTATTTGATTCGATATTGGCTGGTTGTATTCCGGTTTTCTTCAGCCAAGGAAGTGCATACAAGCAATATATATGGCACATACCAAACAACAGTAGCGAATACTCGGTTTATATTCCATTTAAAGAGCTGAAAAACGAGGGAAAAAACAAAATCGAAGAGATTTTGCTTGGAATACCGAATGAGAAAGTTGTTGGTATGAGAGAAAATGTAATAAGACTGGTTCCTAAGATTGTGTACACTAAACCAAACCGATACAAACCGGTTGGAGAGACTCTTGAAGATGCTTTTGAGATTGCTGTAAAGGGAGTGGTAAAGAGAATAGAAGATATAAGGAGAGAAATTCAAGACTGAGGAACATTCATTTATATATTTTGACCCAGAAATGAATTTATCCTACATTTTTTTTTTGTATGTAGAAGATAAGAAATAATAATGCTAACATAAAACCCATTTTCTGGTAATGATTTGCATTTTTTTTGTTTATTTATCATTTATTCGTTTATCTGTACTTCTCATACTTCTTCCATTTCATTTTATTTGTTATTCTATATTTTTACACATAAATTAAGGAAACATTTAATTTTATAGAGTTTCAAGATAAAAATATAATTACTTATCTATACAGTTAACCACTTTTCAACTAATAGAATATTATATAAAATTAATAAATTTTGTTTCGAAATTCTAAAACGATATTTAATTTCTTGACAAAAAAAATTAAGCATAGAATGACAAGTATTCTGAAACAGAAGGAGTACAAGTTTATACTAATCAAATCTAAAATGCTGTAAGTGAAAAGACCTTTGTAGTGGCATTCTCACGATTGTACTGCTACTTGGAGATGTTGTAGATCGTATGTGCATTTTAAAAATATTAGACTATGTGATTTACTTACTTTGTTTTTAATAAAACAAGCTAATATTAGTATTTGTTTTCATTCATAAAATTATGGATTTTTTTTCGGAGATAGTAAAAATGGATATTAAACCGAATCAAATTTTATTTGCCGACCCCTAGTTCAAATCTCTCTAACTACTACTATTATAACTGTTATTTTTTTCAAAATATTATAATTGTTATAATCAGTGGCGGATCTAGAAAATATTTTAAGTGGGGGCATAAAATATTTTTATATATGTTTTATATGAATGTGTTATATCTTTTAATAAAGATAACATATAAAGAAAAAAAATAACTAAATAATACAGTTAAAATAATTTTTTAACTAAAAAGAAAAAAATAATAAACACATTAACAAAAAAAACAGTCTACCAAAAAAAAAAGATTCTATGGAAAAAAACGTAGGGTAAAAAATGAAATATTAACACATAGAAAAAGGAAACTGAGAAAAATAGAAAGAAAAATAATATAAAAAGAGTAAATCAGAACGGACAAGAAAAGGTTCTAAAATGGATTTAGTGGGGGCAAATAGTAGGTTTTAGCCAACTTAGTTGCAGATTTACATGTAATCAAATGCAAATAAATATAATTCTAATTTTTTTGTGGGGCAGCTGCTCCCTTCCTGAGCTTAGTAGATCCGCCCATGGTTATAATATCCCATTTATGTAACAAATCACAGAAATATTTTGAATTTACGTTGCCCGTCGGACAACTCGATCCCATTATGCACCTGCGTACGTTAAAATGGTAGGAATCACTTCACGTGTTGATGAAAGTAACTTAAAAGATGCGGAACTACGAAGGTGCCTATAGCATGGAACCCATTCACGTACACCCAAACACAACACCAACAAACCCAAACCCACAACTCCCTATAAAACAACAGAAATCAAACAACCTATCAAATTTAAGCCGAAGGAAAATAAGACAGAAGTTAGAAGCACAATGTCAAAACTCTCTCTTGTTAGATTGTCATTGTTAGGGTTTCTAGTGATCACCGTCGTGACTCCATCGGTGAAGTCTGCCGTTCTCGGGGGGAAGACAAATGTTGCCAACACTCGAACCAACTTGGAAATTCAAGAACTTGGAAGGTATATATATGCATACATTAAAATTTTATTTATATATACATCAACCATATATCGTTTTATATTGAATTAGAAATGTGATGCGGTTATGTGATCACAGGTATTGCGTGAAACAATTCAATTTACAACAACAGAGCAAGCAAGGTAACGAAGCATCCATTGCTTTAAGTCCGTTGAAATTTAGCCGAGTTGTGTCGGCTCAGAAACAGGTCGTGGCTGGTACCAGATACGATCTAAAGATTGAAGTGACTCAACCCGATGGAACGAGCAGGATGTTTGACTCAGTTATAGTTATTCAACCATGGCTTTTTTCTAAGAAGTTGATCGAATTCACTCCTGTTAAATAACTTTACTTTTTTTATTTAACAAACAAAGCACCATGATATAATCGTAAAAGACCAAAAATGTGGTTCATATATAGTTGGTTTGTAATGATGTTTTACGTTGTTCATAAATAAAGGCCAAAGATGTTATAAAGATGTGAATATATCAAATTTAATGAATTTAGATATTTAAATCAAATTATTACTGGTGTTTTCTTTTTTTTTATTGCACCAAATTATTACTCGTTGAAATATAAATTTTGCATATGTAATGAATGGATCAGAATAATGGCGACGTGTTGAAATTAAAGTTTGCCCTTTATTTTTGCTGATTCACCAACACGTGGCCGCCATATCATTTATTCACAAACGGCTAATTCACAAAATTATAAGCACAAATCATCAAACGTTGATCAAAAGTTCCGTTAGTGAAGCGATTTAGAGTTGTTGATGACACTTTGCTGTAACACACATATCACTCCAAGTTTTATTTGTAAACATGTCCAAAGTCTATACACAAGTATCTAAAGTGTTGGGGACATACTGATGTTTGATAAACAGAGAGGACATGAGGGTTTGATTTTCAGCCACATTTCTATACACTCCTGATGAAATACGTGCAAGCATGCAAGTTTCCTTATTTGTTCATCCTTGTCTCCATATTTTCCCAAGCATATGCAACAACAACTCTGCAGACAAACGTAGAATCCAAGTCAACCAAAACCCAAAGTGGTGATATGATTTTGAATGGAAAATTTAAAGTGAAATGATAATTATGACTCACAATATCTTCACCGTCACTTTCCAATTCAGAATCTACATCAAATGATCTGCTGATGCACGAATAAAATGCTAAAACGAGTACTTTGACTTGCATAATCAAGAAACCACATAATAACAAAGGAAATAAAAGAAGATGAAGAAGATGAATCCCATATCTAAAGCAGCTGAAAACAAGGAACCCCAAAATTAACCTGCAAGAGACAATTAAGGAAACAAAATTAAGGGTAGATAAATGTATTAGTGAAATCAACTCCTCTTTTAAGAAATGATGGTATATATATATATATTGGGATGCTCACTGGCACAGTAGTATAGAACCATGATCCTGAGATGAATTGTCCAAAAAACAAAGTCCTCCTAAAAACCATGCCACGAAGAAACACTCAAGTGGCATCTTGATATAGTCTATCACCCTATGGATTCTGCAGCAATAAACCATTATGGATTCTGTTTTAGCTAATCGAACACATTAAATGTCAAAGAGAAGACAAGAAGAGGAGAGTTTTATATGTACCTTTCTCTTTTATTTTCTTCATCTGCAGCTGGTGCTATATATGGGGTAGATAGAGAGAGATCTTGCCTAATATAAGTGTGAAGACGCCAAAAGAGGATAGGAACCGTGGCTATGCAGGCACAGGTATAACCGATGACCCATATCAACAAAGGTGCTTGTGGGTGTTCGTCTTTTGCCACAATCAGACTCAGAACAACCAAGGCTGCAATAATCTGGACCAAAGTGGCCACTAACTCAACTAAATTCCCATACCTATTAGGGCGTAGCCATTTACCGTCACTCGTCGGTTCACACAAAGATTCCATCTATATCCGTGCAGATAAACCAGAGTATATAACTTTGGTGCTAAGTTATATTTGTTTTGGAAGACTAAATCTTCGTGAAGACTCATTCTGAGTTAAAGACGCACCAGATACATTCTGAGTCGGATCCACCAACATATAACATATTACAGCTTTGACTAGTCTGAATCATGCAATGTCTGATTTGATAATGAAGAAGTCAAATGAGATGATTAATATTTATAATACCAAGAAGATTTCAAGACAAGGATGAAGTCTTCTCCATATATGAAAAAAAAAAGAATTGGCAACAGAATAGTTGAGGTCTAATGTTTTTTACCTAAACTCTTTTTTTTTTGACAACTGAGCTGAACTCTCATAGATCAAAAGGGCAGAAACAAACGGAAGAGTTTGTAGATTACTTGGAAAGAAAGTAATAGCGAATACGTGACTGGCATTATGGTTAAATCTAATCTACATAGCAAAATATTAAATACACACAAGGTTTGTTTGCTTATAATGCTTTTTTAGTTTCACTCTTTGTTCTTAGAAGATCGGTGTTTTCTTTGACCACCGAGAATACGTGAAATCTGCAAACCTCTACTAAACGCTTGGTTAAAGAGAAATCTTGTCTGAAACTCAGACACGAACGGGAACCAAGCCAAGAACGCTACCGGAGTGAACAAAAGCAAGCCCATCAGAATCTCATAGCCTCGAGCCAATGTCCGAACCGATGACCATATCCCTAGCCGTTGTATCAGAGGCTTACATGCTTGTGCAATCTGCAGATAAAAGGTTGTTTTGAATTAGTTAAACATATTTTCACAAATGATTAATTTTATTGAAATGGTAACTTTATTGAACTCTTGCAGTTAGACGTGCTGAGCAAAACGAAGTTGTGAGTAAGGTTGTTTTAGGAAATCCTCCTAGAAACAATAAGATGACTTTTCCAAAGATTCAGAAATATATTGTGCATTGTTTTGAGGAAGAGCTAGTCAAACATATTTGCAGTTAGACGAAACTGCTAATAATGGTAATTTTATTGAATTCTTGAAATACACTGCTGAGCAAAACAATTACCTAAATTTAGAGATGATCGATGGATTTTCTTATGATTAAGGTTTCTTCTTTCTGTAAGAAACATAATATTAAAGAGCTTGACAAGGGAGAAGTTTTCATTGACTCAAAGAATCCAAGAAGAAAAACAAGAGTCACAAGTGGACATCACTATAAGGTTAATTGCTTATATGCAATTTTGGATCTGTAGCTTCAAGAATTTAATGATCGCTTTAACGAGGTGAACACTGAACTGCTTATTTGTGCTGTTTCTTTATCTCCCATTGACTCGTTCTCTCAGTTTAACAATTCAAGGTTGATGAGGTTAGCGACGTTCTATCCATATGACTTTAGTCATGGAGAATGCATATCTCTTGAACAGCAGTTAGATACCTATATCATAACGTTAGAAGTGACGGCAAATTTCTTCATTTAAAAGATCTTGGAGAACTTGCTCGTATTTTGGTGGAAACCCAAAAGTATCTGTCATTTCCTTTGGTTTATAGGTTACTGAAGTTAATATTGATTTTGCATGTTGCTACTGAAACTGTGGAGAGAAGTTTTTCAGCTATGAAAATTGTGAAGACAGATCGGCGGAATCGGATTGGAGATCATTTTTTGAATGATTGTTTGATTTGTTTTATCGAAAAAGATGTATTTGAAAAAATCACAAATGAAACTGTGATGAAAAAGTTCCAGAACATGAAAGATCGTAGGATTATTTTTTATTTTTTATTTTTATATTTTATAAAACTTTTAAAATAGTTATATTTTCAGTTATATATTGACACATGTTAAAAAAAAATTCTGGGTCCGCCACTACACACATATCACTCCAAGTTTTATTTGTAAACATGTCCAAAGTCTATACACATCTAAAGTGTTGGGGACGTATTGATATTTGATAAACAGAGGGGACATGAGGGTTTGATTCTCAGCCACATTTCTATACACTCTTGATGAAATACGTGCAAGCATGCAAGTTTCCTTATTTGTTCATCCTTGTCTCCATATTTCCCCAAGCATATGCAACAACAACTCTGCAGACAAACGTATAATCCAAGTCAACCAAAACCCAAATTGGTGAGATGATTTTGAATGGAAAATTTAAAGTGATATGATAATTATTACTCACAATATCTTCACCGTCGCTTTCCCATTCAGAATCTAAACCATGATAATTATTACGTGCAATATCTCCACCTTCACCTTCCCGTACAGAATCTACCTCAAATGGTCTGATGATGCACACATATAATGCTATTTGAAGCAAGAAATAACATGATACAAAAGGACAGATAATGCATGTTACAATATAAATCCCATATCTAATGCAGCTGAAAGCAAGGAACCCCATACTTAACCTGCAAAAGACCATATAAGGAAACAAAATTAAGGGTAGAAAAATGTATTAAAAATGAGAATTCGACCAAAAAAGCACGAACTTTGCACGAATTGCCAAATAAAACTTGTATTCGAACCTTGCCAAAAAAACGAGATGAAACAATTTCGTTTTACATGAATTCGAAAATAAAACCAAGTACACCCGCAGATTTGAACCTGGGTTGATTGAGTCTAACGACAAGGCGTTTTACCACTGGGCTAGTAGTACTTCCAATGTAATTACTAACACATTTAATTTTATTTGGTACTTATTGAATATCAAAAATTGTCTAAAAACTTAAAAATATCTTCAAAATTCCAAAAATTTGAAGAAATAAAATTTGTTTTATAAAATTAATTTTGAAATAAAAATAAAATTTTATTTTTTCTTTAAAAAATAAAAAGTCTTCCAAAATTTTCATTTTTTTCAAAATTCCAAAAAATTTAAAACTTCAAAGAAAATGCAAAAAGTTAAGTTACATTTATCAGATAAAAATTAAAATCACACTCATACTGTGTACAATATTTATATTAAGCATTTTAATTTACTTTTAATATTTGGTATTGTTTATGTTTATAATTAATTTCAGTTTTTAGCAATTGTTTTTAAAAATGAATATTTTGGAAGACTTTTGATTTTTTAAAAGAAAAAATAAAATTTTATTTTGAATTTAATTTCAAAACTAATTTTATAAAAAAATTATTTTTTTCTTTAATTTTTTGGAATTTTAAAGATCTTTTTAAGTTTTTAGACAATTTTCATATGTAATCACTACCAAATAAAATTAAATGTGTTACTAAATACATTGAAAATGTCAGTAGCCCAGTGGTAAAATGCCTTGCCATTTGAATTAATCAACCCGGGTTCGAATCTGTGGGTGTGTATGTTTTTATTTTCGAATTCATGTAAAACGACGTCGTTTCACTCAACGACACATCAAATTTTTTTATGTTAAATTTGTTGATGGCGTGCAAGTCAACGAAAACTTTGTTATCTATACTATTAA